TCTTCGGCTAAAACAGGCCTCCTTAGAACGGATTCCCTGTCGGTCCTTACTTGCTAATAATAATAAGGAAACGATTCACCTGAGATTTCTTTGGTCCGTCCGATGCTCCTGAGCCTGACTTCGCTCTCCCTCGGCGGCAGCGAATCTTCTCTGAAGTCCTCTTCCTCCTGACCCAACCTCTCGACACCCGCACTCTTATTTTATACACCAAATTCGGGCCACGCAGGCTCGCGTCCTATTCGCCTTACCGTTAGGACGCGACATCCACCTGCAGCCGGGAAGCCCGCTTTCGGCTTCCTCACGATTTTCCGAGTGACGGACGATAACAAAAAATCGTCACGTCACAAGCCATTTAAAAGCGTACATATGCTACATACATTTAATTAAAGAACCTACAAAACGACAGACTCTGCGCGCAATCTGCTGCCAATCTGCCGTCAGAGTCTGTCGACAGGCTCTGCGCGCAATATGTCGCCAATCTGCCGTCAGAGTCTGTCGACAGGCGCAATCTGCCGCCAGTCTGTTCGCAGACTCTGTCAACAGTCTGGCGGTAAATTGGGGACGCAGATGTCTATGGATCTGTCGACAGATCCTGCTCGAATTCGACAGATCCTGTCGACTGTCTGACGTCAGTCTGCGCGCAGATTGCTTACTGGGTTAGTTTGGTCCACTTAACGCTCACAACGCCGCGAGCGTCATTCTAACTTTGGGGAGATTCCAGGTTCGAGTCCTGGCGGAGGCAATTTTTTTGCAACATAATATAAGGAATCTATTTGAGTCATTTGTTTAATGGGAGTTTGGGATTTTAATAAAAATATATATTTAAAAATTGGGACTCAAGGATCGATCTAAGTATGGAAGGTGATTCTCCACGTACGATAATCGAAGAAAAATTTCGATACGTGCGTTTAACATACTGGACAATTTTATCCTCCCACAATCATATTAATATTAAATAATGTAATATTAGTATTTAATAGCACTAAAACATCCGTGCTTGCTCCTTATGTGTCGTTAATTTTTCACTATTAGTTCATTCTATCTTTGTTGCTCGAAGCGTTGCGAGCGTTAAGTGGACCAAATTAACTAACTAACCAAACGGTATCGTGGCCACGAAACGAAAAAATCCTTATATCTTAATCGAAACAATTGATCATGACTTTGAAGTCAATCTAATTTGTAAGTAAGGAAATTGGGCTTACTAGTCGCAATGCCCTATTGGTGAAT